CCAGATATTCTTGCTGAGCTGACAGATATCAAAGTAAAGGCTATCGTCTTAGAAGCTGCAAGGAAAAATAATGGGCTCCAACTAGAGGATACTAAAATACAAGTGTTCAAAGACTTGCCATCTGAGATATTAACAGCACGCCGGAACTTGAAACCAATTACAAAGCGGTTGACAGAAAAACAAATTAGATACCGCTGGCTTCCACTCGGACATTTACAAATAAATTACAAAGGCAGAGCCCACACCGTTTATGATGTCAAGTCCGGAGAGGAAATGCTAACTGCTTTACAACTTTAAGCTTTGGACAAAAAATGAGAGGACAACAGGTTTAACTCTAGATAAGCCGATTTAATATTAATATATTGTTTTAAACATGTGACACTAAGGTACAATAGGAGCATAGCGGGTAAGGCACTCGGGAGGAACTCCCTTATCACCTTCTATAGGGTGGGGCCTTAGGAAAAGACCCCCTTTGGGATTTCCAAAGTCCCATAGAGAGGTGGCAACATCCAAGAACTCCGCCATGAAGATTTAAATTATTTGGTTGTTGGTTTATCTTTCTATTTAAGAGCAATTAAAAGGCTTAATATAATACGGATAAGATATAAGATAAACTGTCTGGGACAATAATAAATATCATTTTATTAAGTTTGTATTACTTGAGTTGGAGTTTAAGGAAATAAAAAATAGTTTTCTAAGCAATCACTGGCAATGACAGGGGGAAAAATCTTTTTGTTTTAATAACCATTATAATGTAAACAGCCATTGCCAGGGATACGGTGTAAAAGAGGATGTAATGGACTGTATAGTATCTTTAAAAATATATATGATTTGTGTTGTTATCATGTGATATGCAAAATAAAAATATATTTAAAAAAAAAAAGAAACAGAAACTGATCAAGGAAAAGCTCACTAAACTTGACTCCTATCTACAGAATCAACCTTTTTCAGAGGAATTTTACAACAGGAAACAAGGCATCTACAATATGCAACTAACATCTACAAAAGCAGGAGGACAAAAAACTTTCCAACCTTTTACTAGTCACAACAACAATCCTACCAGCAATACTGTTAATCTTTCCCAGCATTCCCACAGCTTAGCAGAGGAATCTGTCCTTTCAAGAGGATTATCCTTTTGTCCCACTAAATCTACACAGACAATACAGCCCTGTGGAGACCTGGAGGCCTTGTTCCACCATCTATGCTTGAAGGAATACTTTCACCACAGAACAGAACACGCTCAGACAGACAGCCTCCTAACAGCTTCAACAATCTACAATCCTCAACAAATCAACAGCAGGCTCTGTTGGGCAGTTTAGTTTCAACTAGGCAGCCCAGCAGAGCCCCAGCCAAGCCTGTGGAGAGAGTTCTCCCCACAGGATCAGCTTCTGGGAGGGCTGACAGGTGGTCTCATTGGGGTGTCAGGTTTAAATGGCTGGCAGCCATTTCTGGGCCCCGGACTGCCAAACAAAACCCTCCCAGGAGCTGATTCTGCAGGAAGAACTCTCCCCAAGGCCAGCAGAAAGGAAGCGGGGAAGATCTGAGATCTTCCCTCCCTACTTTCCCCTGGTGAAACCAGCTTGTAAAATGGCTGCCAGCCATTTAAACCTGACAGCCCAACAGTCCAAGCAGGGGGGAGCGAAAGAGATTGCTGAAATGGCTAACCCTGCTTAGTACTGTGCAGAAGAAGGCAAAGGCACTTCTGATCATCTCATACCTTGAAAACCTTTTGATGAGAGAATCCAAAACGGAAAAAAAAGATATAGTGCTGGAAGGTTGGATGGCACACAATTAGCTACTGGGGAAGAGAAGAGGACAAATATGAGTACTGCTATTCTTAATGATGCAACTGGATTAAAGCCCAAAGAACATTCAATTGTTGATTATGTGAATGGATGCAAAATAAAATTTCAAAGCTGTTCAACAAATGCATACAGTAGGAACACAGAATGTGAGAGGTATGAATCAAGATAAACTTTAAATTGTAAAATGAGAAATAGAAAGTTTAAACACTGCAATCCTGTGAGTGAACTAAAGTGGACTGGATTAAGGCATTTTCAGTCAGAAGATTAGAGTGCTTTATTCAGGAAATGACAATGACATTAATTTCTCAAGTAAGTAAAGTTATGCTTATAATCTTAGAAAGACAGTATATGTGGAACGAGAAAAGGAAGAGGCACTAGAGGACATATTACAAATTTACGCTGGTTACTGAAGCATATAAGAGAATTTCAGAAGAAAATCAGCTTTTGACTGTGTGGATCATTTATTTATTTATTTATTTAAATATTTTTATCCCGCCCTACCCCGCAAGCGGGCTCAGGGTGGCTTACAAGGGGCAGGAGCCCATACATAAAAGCAATAAAACCAGAACATTAAAACCAAACAATACATATTAACAATAAAGTGCTTATCAAGATGGTCTTGGTATTACAATATTAAATTCCAGCAACCCCCCAATTGGGTATCGCTATTTGCTAAAGAGTCCGAACCCGTCCGTTGTTCTCATTGCCGCATAGTTCTTATAATTCAGCTTTCCAGGGCACTCCCGATCTTAATGATGTTACCACCGTTGGTAGTGGTGGGAGCAGCGGCAGCGGCGGCCCCTACATAAAAGCCTGGCGGAAGAGCTCCGTCTTGCAGGCCCTGCGGAACTGCACAAGGTCCCGCAGGGCCCTGATCTCTTCCGGGAACTCGTTCCACCAGGTAGGGGCCGCCACTGAGAAAGATCTAGCCCTAGTTGCGGCAAGCTTTACCTCTCGGGGGCCCAGAACTACTAACAAGTTCTGGGTCCCCGACCGAAGTGCTCTTGGGGGTATGTGCGGGGAAAGGCGGTCCCTCAGGTAGGTCGGACCCAGGCCACATAGGGCTTTAAAGGTGAGTACCAGCACTTTAAAGCAGACTCGGAATGCTATAGGCAGCCAGTGCAGCGCCTTCAACCCAGGCCTGATGTGCTCCCACCTGGGGAGGCCCATCAGCAGCCTAGCCGCCGCGTTCTGCACTAGCTGCAGCTTCCGGGTCAGCGATAAAGGCAGCCCCATGTAGAGAGCGTTACAGTAGTCTAGCCTTGAGGTGACCGTCGCATGGATCACTGTAGCCAGGTCATCACGGTCGAGGAAGGGAGCCAACTGCCGAGCCCGCCTCAGATGGTAAAATGCAGACCCGGCAGTGGCTGCTACCTGGGCCTCCATCGTTAACGAGGAGTCCAGGAGCACTCCCAAACTCCTCACCTCCGACGCAGGCACCAGAGGCACCCCATCGAGGGTCGGGAGAGGGAGACCCAACCCCAAACCGTTCCGACTCAGGCCCATGAAAAGCTATGGTTGGTTTTAAAAGAAATGGGTGTGCCACAACATCCGATTGTTCTGATATGCAACTTATACTCTGAACAAGAGGCTACTGTTAGGGCATAATATGGAGAAACAGAATGGTTTCCAATTGGCAAAGGTGTCAGACAAGGATATCTTTTATCTCCCTATCTCTTCAATCTATTTGGAATAACACATCATAAGGAAAGCGGGATTAGATATAGATGAAGGTGGAGTGAAAATTGGTGGAAGGAATATTAACAATTCGAGATATTCAGATGACACTACGTTACGGGCACAAAACAGTGGCGACTCAAAATGACTACTGATGAAGGTCAGAGCAGAAAGTTCCAAAGCAGGATTACAGCTGAACATCAAGAAGACAAAAGTAATGACCATTTCTATTTCCCTCATCAGCCAAAAGGGAGACTGCAACCAAGAAATCAGAAGGAGATTGAGACCAGGAAGGGAAGCCATGAAGGACTAGAAAAGATTTTTAAGTGTAAGGGTGGTGTCACTAGCAACCAAGGGCAAGATTATTCATACAATAGTATTCCCTATTAGTATGTATAGGTGTGAAAGTTGGACAACTGAAGAAAGCTGACAGGGAGGAAATTGATTCATTTGAAATGTGTTGGAAAAGAGTTTTAGGGCTACCACGGACTCGCCAAAAGTCAAGTGAGTGGATCTAGATCAAATCAAGCCTGAACTCTCCCTAGAAGCTGAAACCACTAAATTGAGGGTATGTTACTAAATTGAGGATATCTGAGAAGACAAGAGTCACTGGAAAAGACAATAATGCAAGGAAAAGTCAAAGGCAGTAGGAAAAGAGGAAGACCCAAGATGAGATGGATTGACTCCTTATCTCTCAATGGGCTGCATGTGTAGGTTAGGCCCTAGGGAAGACCTCGTTAGATAGGTAGCCACATTTCCATCTCATATGCTCATTTTTAGTTTGCACGAAATTTTTACATGGGGGAAGTTTAAAAATGTGATTCCCCCAAATACGTACAAAATCTGAAGTGGTGTAGCCCAACACCTCTTTCTCATGCATGAGAGTAAACATGCAAAGAGCATTAGCCACCACCCCTGAGCACACTCAAAAGGGATTTTACCCATTTGGGACTTATTTCTGAGTAAAAACGCCTAAAGGCCGAGCAAGCATGCACCGCCTGCGAGGTTTGCAGGGTCGTCACCACTTCTATTTAACGCACGTGCAGATTCCTTCCTAACGCACCTTTGGCCCAAGCTCAGCCCTTCCAGCTCTAGGCTCACTTTCCATTTTCCTCAAACCCAAGGCGCTGGAGAATCGAAACCGGAGCTCGAGCACTCCCCGCGCGTGCGCTTTACTTCTCCGCAGCCCTCAGTCCCACGGTCTTCCTTACGCCTTTCCACCCCACCCTTATGCCAAACCATCGCGACCAATCAGAGAGGAGGATAAAAATAATAAGGCCTCAAGTCCTGTGACGTCAACACCTCAGCTCCACTCCCCCCCCCCTTTTTTGGTCCCTTTGGGAACTCGCGCGAACCAAAAGAGAAGAGCAGCCTCCCAGCGTCACGGGTCCTCTTTCGTCTTCCCCCCTCCCCTTCACCGTGGGATGTGGGCCAATTGACGAGCACACCGATCCCTCCTCCCGCTGACCTCACCGCCTGGCCCACCTACTCCTCTACGGGGGGGGGGGAACGGCGTCCAATGAAGAGCGGGGACGGAGACAGCCCTCCGTGACGTCATGGTCCCGCCTCTCGGCCGCCCCTCGGGCGCTTGGCAGCGGGCAACTGAGGATAGAAGAGAGAGCGAGGGAGAAGGCTGAGCCCACTGGCGGCGGCGGCACCGTGTCTGTCTCTCCTCCTGTCCCCGGCGATCGCTGCTCGTAGTCTCCTGTGTCCTCCTCCTCCGCTTCCCCTCAGGAACCATGGAAAGTGCGGCGGCGGGAGCGGAGTTCAACATTCTCCTGGCGACCGACTCCTACAAGGTTGGCGAGCAGAGCCTGAAGGGAGGGAGGCGGGCGGGAAGAAAGAGGGCGATCGGGCGGGCGTCCCGAGCCCTCACGATGGGCTCTGGTCCGGGCGTGCAGCTGAAGCTGCCGGGTAGCTTCTTCCCATCCTCGCCTTTAATTCTTGCCGGCCGTGATCTCATCTGTCCCACCCACCCCCAACCCCCTAGTTCTTCTCCCCCCACCATGCTTCTCTTACGCCCCTCACCCCTTCGGGCACCGAGGACCTGCATGGCGCCTGGGGCTGCTACGTGTGTGACGGCTCGCAGGCCATGCCTGCATTCAGGGACCTGCCGAAAGAGGAGAGGGGAGGAAGGGTAGGCCCGCTTGCCCTTGGTAGCCCGGGCACCTGACGAGAGGAGAGGCTGGTTCTCACCTGGGAGAGAAGAGGATTCTGCCACAAGGCGTTTTTTAAATATAGGGGGTGTCGAAAAGACGCACCACGGTCTTTGTGTCGCCTCGGTTCCTCACCACACTTTCACTTAGGAATTGGGCGAAGGGTTCGCTTCCAAATAAATGTTGTTGTTCACACTTGCTAGTCTTCGAAAATAGATTCAGGTGGGTAGCCCTGTTGGTCTTAAAGGTGCCACTAAGACTCAAACTTTGTTCTAGTCTTTGTAAAGAAAGGTAACTGGGGTGGGGGTTGATGGGAATTTGCTCCCACGCCCGCCATGATAGGAGGTATGTGGGGTGGAGAAGGCTAAGAAGAGGAAAGTGAAACCCTTCACTTGTTCTGGAGCCTGATTCCCCCCCCCCCCCCCATTTATATTTCATTTCGCCTCTTGACAGTTGGCTTGGCTGGGTACAAAGGTAGAAATTAGGGTTTTAATGTGCACATGTGCTTCCAGAAGTGATGAATGAGCAAGGGATCTTATGGACCCAAGTTGCTGCCCTCATGCTGTGAAGTTTCCAGTAATCAGAAAAAAGAGAGGGAGAAAATGAGCAATATAGAAAGTGAAACTTGTGACAAGGAGGAGCTGGCTCTACACTACAGTCTTGATATACTTTATTTCCCCCCCTCTTTGTAGTAATATTCACTGGGTGAAGGGGTGTGTGTGTGTGAAATGATGCTCCATTCAGCAAGCAGGCTAATGCAAAGGTACTATCTTTAGTTGCCAGGTAATGGAGAGGGTTAAAGGAAACATCTTTTGTAGGTAAACTGTCTAAAATTTCCTTGATCTCAAATCAAACTAGATTTCTAACTAGTAAAGATTGTATTATTCCCAAAGCAAGCATGGTTTGGGGGCTTTGTCAATATACGGTAATAGATTCTGTTAACTGCCCTTTAGAGAGCACTTTAAAAAGCACAATGGTGCTAGTACTTTATTTAGTGTGTCTTATCCCACCCTTCAGGGACCTTAGGGCAAACTACAAGGGGGTGTTTCTTCTTCCTAATTATCCTCCTAAATACCCTGTGAGGTAGGTTAGGCTGAGAGATAATGAATGGCCCTAAGATCACACAGTGCATTTCATAGCAAGCAGAGATTTGAACCTTGGTCCTAGTCCAGCACTAACCACTAGTCCACACTGGCTAGGAAACAGTATTTCTTAGCTTTCTGTTGAACTTGGACAGCAGACATGGTCCCTTTCTGAAAACATTGTTGGTCACACTAGGAGGCACTGAATAAACTAAATCTGATATGAATAATGTTAGACTGGAGATAGAACTCCCTTGATAATTTTTTTTTTTACTTGCAGAGGATTTGGCTGTTGCTGCCTTTTGGGTTCTGTTACTGTCTTCTAGTGTGTAATTTATTAAAACCATAATTCAGCATTTAAATTGTATTATAATTACAATAACTTGCTCTAGCAGTCTCCATAGTTTAATTCCCTTATGCAATTGTTAGTGTTGAAATGCTTGAAACCTGAAATGAAAGTAGATCTGAGGGTTATGAAACAGAAAACATTTCTAATGCCAACAAGATCAAACTGTTTAAAATCAGCTATATTACCGCTGTTGGCACTGATTATGAAAGCATTTAAGTATGTAGCTCTGCTAATTGCAAAAGGAATGCAGAGGGGAAACTTGTGATTGAGGGAAATTACATCCAAAATACTGTACTGTTTTATGGGTAATGAAACTTAGACTTGTACTTTGCCACTGAAGTCCAAGGCCTCAAGTTTCGTTCTCTGTTAAACTAGTTTCAGTAATATGCTTGTTGTAGCAGTAGGCCCTACAAGTATTATGTTAAACCTTTTAGGTCCAGTCCAGCTAGAGACAAGTATTTCTATGTCCTGTTCTTTTCAATAGGACATTATAGTTGTTTTTATTGTGTTTTTCATTATGTTTTATTTCATAGAATCATAGAGTTGGAAGAGACCTCTAGTCCAACCCCCTGTACAATGCAGGAAATTCACAAATACCTCCCCACACACCCCCAGTGATTGCTGTTCCATGCCCAGACAGAAAACCTCCAGGATCTCCAGCCAAACTGGCCTGGAGAAAAACTGCTTCCTGACCCCAAAGTGGCAATTAACATTTCCATGGGCGTGTAAGAAAGGGCCTCAAGAACTAAGCACTGATGCAACCCTTCCTGCCCTCCCTCTCGCAATCTGCCTAAGTTCACAGAATCAGCATTGCTGTCAGATGGCCATCTAGCCTCTGTTTGAAAACCTCCAAAGAAGGAGAGCCCACCACATCCTGAGGAAGCCTGTTCCACTGAGGAACCACTCTGTCAGGAAGTTCTTCCTTATGTTTAGCCAAAAACTCTTTTGATTTAATTCTAGCCTGTTGGTTCTGGTCCAACTTTCTGGGGCAACAGAAAACAACTCCGTACCATCCGCTAGATGACAGCCCTTCAAGTACTTGAAGATGGTTATCATATCACCTCTCAGTCATCTCCTCTCCAGACTAAACATACCCAGCTCCTTCAGCCTTTCCTCATAGTACTTGGTCTCCAGAACCATCTTTGTTTTCCTTCTCTGGACACATTGCAGCCAATGCTCCCTCTAAGCTGTTGAGTGTTGTGAGCAAGAATTCTACTTTGTGAGCTGCTGGCATTAAAATTGTGAGCGAGCGATTTGGCTACCGCATAAATTAGTTTGCTCTGGAGCCATCCTTCCTTTTAGCCTGAGGCTAAAAAACTGTGAGCTAGCTCACACTAACTCAGCTTAGCGGGAACACTGGAACTTCCATCTTGTCTATATCCTTCTTAAATTATGGTGCCCAAAACTGAACACAATTTGTATTGTAAGCTGCATATGTATATATTTTGAGAACCTCCTGTTAAGTAAGGAAAGGAGCATCACTTTCTTTACCCGAGATTGTTTTGTCATCTAATAATAAAAAGTGAGAGTTTGTGTGATGTGGTATCCAAAGGATGGTTCAGGATGCCATGGCTTCCCTACAAAGCTTAGTGAGTGACTCACTCCAAGCCACTCTCTCTCTCTCTCTGCCTATCTTCTGTCTCTGGTGGCTGTTGACAGGTTCATCCCCCACTTTGAGCTCCTGGAAGGCATGTCAGGATATACAGATAAAGCAATATCACCCTAACAATCACATTGGAGCATCTCCAAATTTGACATTGGTTTCTTAAAGTCTTGAGCAATGACAGATGTGATAAGAACAAAGTTGGGCTAAGAAAAGCTTAAATGTGTTTAATTGTGTCATAAGTTAACAGACAAACCATTGAAATGACTTCTGGGTCTTTCCTGACCTGTGTGTTGCATTCATTTATGCTCCAGTTACTTCTCATTTGCTGGTTTCTAATCATAAGTATATGTTTTAACTTTAATTTTTAATTTCACAATGGGCGTAGTTCTAATTGAATAAGTACCTATTGCATTCCTAGGCCTGTCAATTTTGGTCAATGTGTTGTCCATGGGTACCATGATGCCTACCAGTACTTCCCCTGGTGCCTGCTGAGCTTTTCAATAAGTGAGTGGGGCTGTTGTAAGGGAGCGTATGTTATTAGCTGCCCTCTTTTGGTGGCCAGTTTGGTGTAGTGGTTAAGTGCACAGACTCTAATCTGGGAGAACCGGGTTTGATTCCCCACTCCTCCACTTGCACCTGCTGATGTGACCTTGGGTCAGTCACAAGCTCTGGCACAGCTGTCCTTGAAAAAGAGCAGTTTGTGTCAGAGTTCTCTCAGCCCCACCCACCTCATAGGGTGTCTGTTGTGGGAAGGGAAAGGGGTTTGTAAGCCGCTCTGAGACTCCAAGTGAAGGGCGGGGTATAAATCCAATCTCTTCTTCTTCTTAAATGAAAGTATTTTTCACTGTAGGATCAGGAGGATTGGTAAGTACCTGGGCTTTCCTTAGTGTGTGATTGCATTCCCCCTTCAGGATTTTCTTCTTCCCAGAAGGTGTAAGGAGCGAAGTATTCCATTTGGCTCTGCCTCCTGAGGCAGTCATTTTGTGTTTGTCATCACCTGTGGCATCCCTTTAGGGTTGACGCTCGCTACCCTTTCTCCAAATTCCAGTGGTGCCCACATGCTTACAAATGTTGGAGTCCCCTGCCCTAAACCATATTTCTCAGATTCACTCAAAGCCTATAAAAATTAAATTGCCATCAGATCATTCATTTTAGGCAGCCAAAACTTCCTATTTGGGCAGAGCAATCCTGAGCTGTGCCCGTGCTGCAGTGGCCAGTGTAACCACCACGTCGCTAGTCCATTCCCTCAGGGGCAAGTTATGTTGTGTTGGAATGGGGGGAAATGTTACAGTTTAGCTGGCTGTTTGTGTGGCTGTCTCCATAGCGTCTCTGCCACAGTAGGGTCTAAGGCGTGGCTGGCAGGAGGAGTGGGGCCCCCCCTGAAAGGCACGTATGGCGATGACAGGCTCATGGGTGATGCCTGTCTGTAGAGGGGCATCCGTGAACCCCAGTCTCCCAGCAGGGCCTGCAGCTGCCTTGGCTGCACAGGCCTCCCTTGGCCTGAGGTGCTCATTGTGGCCCAGGGGGACGGATGCTGGGGAGGGGGAACCATGTGGGGCCCCCTTGGCCTGAGGTGCTCATTGTGGCCCAGGGGGAAGGATGCTGG